TGGGGAATTTGATGTTTAGAGTCCAAGATGGAAATGGTTTCATCGATGGGAATGTTGGTGAACAAAGAAACAATGTCAAAACTGACTAGGATATCTGAGGGCGAGATAGAAATATTAGAATTTAGAAGATATTTATCAGATAGAAAATGAAATGAGTTTGACCAACGTATGCACTAACGATCGGCCTTAGAGGAACATTCGGCTTATGGAGGAACGGTTCGGCTTGGAGGAACATTCCAGTTGCCTACGTACATACATCGGACAGACAAACCGACGAATCCATAACCGTATTTATGAACATTCTATATCAGTCAAACATTCCGATACTACTTCAGCCCTAGCCCAACATCATATTCAAACAGGCCATAAAATAGACTTCAAGAAAGCAAAAACCATGGCCCCCATCCACTCCTTAAAATCAAGAATCATTCGTGAAGCTATCGAAATCGAAAAACGGCCTAACAGCTTAAAGACGCGCGATGACGCGAAGCGATTGCCGGCAACATGGCGACCCCTGCTTCAGCGACCTCCCGCCCACACCGCTCAGGCCACGTCAGCTCAGACTACGTTAGCCCATACCGTTCCCGCGCGTATAGCGAGTATAAAAGCAGCGACACAGGGTAAGACCGGTTGTCACTCGACACTGAGGAGTCGACACTTATCTTTCGTGGATGTTCTACTTACAGGTGACAATTTCACGCACCACTCATTGATTGAGTCAATAATTAAAATATATAAAAATTGCATGGTGTAAAAGACCAAACTTGACAATTTAATTTACTTTAACACATAAGAAAAAGACAATTACAAAGTTAAAATGGCCACGTGTGCCGGCCAACTGTAGAATGTTAGGTTAAGAGTAACTGTCATTCCTGGACATGGCAAATGACAGTACTTCTTCTTATTTCTTTGTCTTATGTAGTACTAATTACACATCAAATTGTTAACAAAATTAGTGTTTAAGTTGAAAACAAAATTGTAAAATGAGAACTATGAGAATTCACGAAACCTGGAAACTTTACAATGAATCAGTTGTTGAGACATCATTGAATTGTGAATGTGTATCCAAATATAATAGGTAGGAGTAAATAGTGCTTAACTGATTAATGTCACTCCTTTTGTTCATTGCGTTTGAATTTTGAGCAATGAATGCCATTTCTAAGAAAAGTCTTTTTTTGTAATTGGATTCAGTAGCTAAAATTTTGACTGATTCATAATTCATTATATGATGTTCTTTATTGACATGTTCTGCAAGGGCAGATCTTTCTGGATATAGTCTGCTGTCGCTACGGTGACTGATTAAGCGACTACCTAGGTTGCGTGTGGTTTGTCCCACATATACCAAATTACAGTTGTTGCAAGGGATCTGGTAAACTACGTTGGAACAATCTTTGATGCTGCTTTTGTCTTTAACTTTAGAAAATATAGATCTTGCCGTTAATGAAGTTTTAAAGGCTATTTTTAAATTGGTGAAATCTTTAAAAAGTCTTGACAGTCTGGGTGTTATGCCTTTTATGTATTTTAGTGAAGTATAAGAGCAATTGGCATTTTGTTCTCCGCTTGTGACAATATTTTGCACCTCATCATTCTGGCGTGCTATGTTCGGGGTCAAACTGAATAAAATCTTGGTGACTAGGTGTTTTGGGTATGAATTGTCGATGAAAAGGTTTGATAGGATTCTTAGGTTCTTCTGATGGAAAGAAGGATCACTGATAGCTATAATTCTAGCTTTCATTTGCTTAAGCAAATTGATTTTGATTGAATGTCTATGGTATGACCAATAGTTGAGGAAACGTCCAGAACTATGAGGTTTTCTATGCCAGTCAATAATCAGGGAGTTGTTGTGGGTTCTAATGAACCGGGTATCACGAAAGGGGACTGAGCATAGATCATCCTCATGTTCGATTGTGAACTGTAGTAGAGGGTCATAACTATTGAATACATTTAGGATTTCTGTGGATCCATTGTTAGGGATAGCTAGGATTAAGTCATCCACATACTTTTTAACAAAAGGAATATGAAAGGACAATTCTGGGATAACCATATCCAGTAAGTGGTCCATCACATAACAGGCCAAAATGGGAGAGATAGTACCTCCCATAGGAGTTCCTTGTGTTTGTCTAAACACAGTATTATTGAATGTGAAATAGGTGTTATTAAAAAGAAAGGAGATGAGTTTTTTGAAATACTCCAAGCTGATATTACAGTGAGAACTAATAAAATTCCAATTGTTTTCAATAGCTATTAAAGCTGCATTTAAATGTACATTGGTGAATAATGAAACAACATCCAGACTAACAATCACATAGCCATCAGGTAACTGATAGTTGTTGAAGTTGTTGAAAACATCAAAAGAATTTTTTATGTAATATTCATTCGACACATATGCATTGGTTAAGATCTCAGTTAAAAAGGATGCTAATAAATTAGTGGGGGCACCAATACATGCAACAATGGGACGAACTGAAAGCTGTGGTTTGTGTATCTTGGGCAACGCATA